TATCAGCTGAAATCATGTCCAGTTGCAGGCTATTTTCCTTGCTTGTAATCTGGCGGTGTGTGGTAGCAGCTGACTCATGGCTATCCTCATAAAAGTCAAGCATCTTGCTTTTCAAACCCAGCTCTGGTGTCCAATATCTCAAAGACGGTGGGAAGAGTTTTGTCGTGCCATGATTCAATGCATTTGAAGCCACTGAAAAAACTGGCGTGTGGACTTTTTTTTTTTCTATCACTTGGGGGCTCTTGAACCACTGGTGCTTCTAATTCTGTCAAACAGCTCTCCACCGAGGCAGGTGCAAGCACATCTGTAACTATGGGTGCTGCCTTTGTACCACCACATGACATTATCTTTGGGGTCTCAGAGTCTGGAAACATGGTCAATGTTAGCTTATGACCACAGTCTTCTGACCTGTATGATAGGGAGTGTTTCACATGGTGGTAAACGCTAGTTAGTTCAGCTGCTGTTAACTTTATCTGTGTTTGAATCTTGTTTGGGTTTTAGCAGGAACGTATGCATAGACTGGGAAGCCTCCTTTTGAGCAACACGCTTTTTGTGAGTTGAGTCTCGCACTGTCTGGGTCGTTTCACTTCGTATTCCCTTCTGTGTGAAACAGAAAAATGACTCAACCAAACTTCACATAAAACTTTACTAGACTCGCTTTGCACTGGTTTCACCCAGGGACTGATGGTGTCCCAGTCTTTGTTATAGCTGCGTTTCCTTTTCTTAGCCATACAGGTCGTGCTTTCCTCCCTTTCCTCCATGTGTCGTGCTGCATACCGGTGCTGGTCTGACCTGATTTGCATTGTTTCTTGTTGGTGGGCGCGCCCTTAACCTGCATCTGTGTCCCAGTGTGATTGACACAATCAAACAGCCCCCTGATGACAGCCCTCACTGCTTTCTCCACACAGCCATTTGATAAATGCCAGATTATGAAAACACGTGTTTCAAAACTGGAGTCTGACTGTTAATAACAATGTGGGATCTCAATTTGCGGGATGTGTGAAAAGCAATGGAGATGTGTGAGTGTCTCTCACAAAGCAGGACATCTGGTCACCCTCAGCACAGCCTTCTGGAGAACCGCAAGAAATCAGCCCAGCCACGCCCCCAAATATCGCACACTTTAAGGCCTTAGTTCTGTTTAATTGTGGGATTATTTTTAGATGGACTGCTGGAAAACTGATCAAAAGGAAGAACTTCAACAAAAAATATCACAACAGCTTGTGGAAAAAAATCATTGGTGCAGCTTTTTATGATGATTCTTGAATAGAAGTCTATTGGAACCAGAGCTTTTTTGGAGCCAGCACCTAGTGGCTGTTGGTGGTATTACACTTTGAGACTGCATTGGCTTTACTTGTCAGAGCTGGTTGCTACGTCCACCTCTTTACCGCCTATAGTCCTAAATACAGATGCAGTTGGGCCTTGTTTCCAACCTGTCAACCTTGTGTCCCCCCACGGCCTCCACCTGACTGATGCACTTTAAGTGGACTCCTCTGGGAGCTGACGGAGCGGATGTCGGGTCCAGTTTAATGGCTTAATGTTTTTATTATCTGCTATTACAGACAGCTATGATGTGAACAGCATGACAAGCAGAACTATTTGTGGCAGTAATAGAAACACTAATACTATGCTAGCAGCAGTATTCGTCATTGTTGTACCTACCTACAGTATTGAGCTATTCCTGTCCTAAGTTTCTTACTCTCCGTAACTTCTGTATTCCAGGAGGAAAATCTTTTACTTGCACCGACGGCACAAGTTCATGAGCAGGTGAGCGTTCAGTCTAAGAAATAGCGGATAAATTGACAAACTAAAACTCTAAGCTTTAACAGAAACTTCTCCTGCAGGATGGAGAAACGCATCAACAAATTTCGAGGCTGGCTTCCCCGCAAGCCCATGAAGTTAAATGACACTCTACCCGACCTTGAGGAGAACGAGAGTTTTACTGCCCCCTTCAGTCGCTCAAGAATCCATCAGTGAGTTTTTAGCGTTCAGTCCTGAGAGACAGTTTGAACTTAATCTTACTTTGCCGGCTGGTACATTTTCCATTTCCTTTTGCCTTTTGAAATTCTGTCTGCCGCCTCTCTCATACAAATTGGCACAAATACATATAAACCTACGCATGCACAAAAGACATATCCTTCACAGCAGACAGATTTGTAATAACCGGTTCGTTTCGCTGCAGTTTCATCATCCACAACAAAGACACGTTTTTCAACAACGCAACCAGGAGTCGAATCGTCCACCACATCCTCCAGAGGGTCAAATATGAAGAGGGTAAAAATAAGATGGGTGAGTTTTTCTCTGGACATTCTGAAAACGATTGAAATGCTTCAAATGGAAGGCAAATGGAAACTAACTGGGGAGGGAGTATAAAATATTGAGAGTACGTGACATTCAGTGTATGTGCACCGTGAGCAGGATCAGCTGTCATCGTAAAAACGTATTTCAGTGCAGCATATTTGAGAAATCTTGCAGGATTTCTAGTTTTGGACAACAGCATTCCCAGAGTATATGTGCATGTGAGCTGTATGGATCAGTCTAGTAACAGTTGTGGAAACCAAGTTATTCAATTCTTTATTATGTTTTTAAGTAGATTTAGTTTAGTTTTCGTTGCTGTAGTCACAACTAATTTTTTCTTTGCCTTTTGGATCAGTGCAATAGTTACTAAATTCTGTGTCTGCTGGGACTGTCGCCTTGTTGAAAAATCAGGCTTTCACAATTTTAAACTTGTAATTTGTTCACGTTTATGACAAGAAATACGGGAAAAGAGAGTAGGAGAATGACATGCAGGAACTGGTGCTCAGACTCAATCCTCAAATCAGTGCTCACGGTTTTATGAACCCTTTGACTGTCTGGTTGCTTCTGTTCATATCAGTTTTAAAGCAACTCAGTTAGCCCTATTCAAAACATTGTTGTAGAATTAATATTATTTCGTTCATTCCTGTTAGAGCCTTCTAAGGCCTTTATCCCTGTTTTCATCTACAGTGATGAATGAAATGATTCTTCAAAATATCAATGAAGCACAGTTTACTGGTTGTCTTCATCCTGAGGTAATTAGACTGACTGGATGTAGACTTCAGGTATAGGCCAACTATCTGCGCAGATGTAATAGATAGCAGAAAGGGAGGTTATCTCCTCAAGAGTGACTGTTTTCAAAGTCCCCTTTGCTATGGGAAACAACAACAACCACAAAGCACCAAAACTATTCCCCCATCGTTGCATCCCGGACTTATCGCTGCCCAAGATGATTATGATTGGCTTAAAGAAATAGTACAACGATAAAGAGGTGCAGTCAGACCACTATGGAGATAGTTTTAGCTATGCAGAGCAAAGGAAACATTGCTACGTGAAGCGCTCTCTCTGGTGGCTGACAAATGACGTGCATATTCACAAACTACCTGCACACACATGAATGCATTGCATAAACAGAAACACGCTGCAAAAGGGAAACGCTGCAAATACAGACGTGCTGCATAAATAAAAACAAATGCAAAAGAAAACACTACATATCCAGTCACACAGCAGACGTGCCACAGGCCTCTAGGTTCTTTAGCTTTTCAGTCACTGTGATTATTTGGGTGCTGAAGTGGTGTTTTACTACCGTCTCCCTGTGTTCTCTATGTTATTTATATTTATCCATGGAGATGAGAGAATACACAAGTTTTCATACAGGTTTTCCCTCTACTAAAGTTATTTGTCTTGCTCACCGTTATCTGCCTCTCAGGTGAAAAGCTCACTACTGCCCCTAGAGGCCGGTGGCACTTCTGTTGTGTGACTGGATGTGCAGCGTTCTCCTTTTGCAACGCGTTTCTGTTTATGCAACACATTAATGTATTTGCAGCTCGTTTGTGTACATGCACGTCATTTCAGTGAGCACCGGAGCTCTCCACTGGAGTAAAGCATGAGCCACACTGAGAGTCACTTCAGCATTGCTGCTGCTGCAGTGCTGCACTCTATTTTTCTACATAGAGTTTGCCTGTGATAGTGGCTACCAATGATGGAATGTCTGATTTCATTTCATTGTCAATTTTATCATATATAATTTAGTTTACCTTTTTTCATATGAAGATAAAGGAAGATAATGCACTGGAAAAATCCTGCCCTTCACCTGCTGTTCTGATAATGTATCAGCATTATATAAATACAGACGACATGGGGTTTACTATAATGACCACATAGTGCACATGTAGCCTCCACTTTATCCTTTAATAACATGCAAAGCAGCACGGTGTTTATGGTCATATAACGGTATATGTCTGCAACATATTCAGATATATGCTAAACACTGAACCTATAGCGAAAGGTGTCGGTGCTCCAATGCCGCCAGTAGGATGTCAGCATGACTATCAGATCCTTTCACCGTCTATTTCTGCTGAGAGCTGCACTCATCGCGCTGAAATAACAGGCAACATGCCCATATTTTTGAATAAAAAGTGACAGTGCTTTCATCCCCTCCACTGCTTGACTTACAGGCATCTGTTGCTCTTCTTTCATGATTCTCTCTTTTCCTTTGCAGGGCTCAATCGTCTTTTGAGCAATAGCTCGTATGAGGCAGCTTTCCCTCTTCATGAGGTAATTTGGCTGATCTGCTTAAAGTCCTTCACTCATTCAAGTTACCACCTGTGTTGAAGTCATCTCGTCTCGCTGTCACATGCACAGTGAGACTGGTGATTCCATGTGCGGATCTTGCACTGGTATGCCGCAGAATATTAATCTGTGTGCGCCTTAACAGGGGAGCTACCACAGCAAGAACTCCATCAGAACGCATGGAGCGGAGAACCATCGGCACCTGCTGTACGAGTGCTGGGCCTGGTGGGGGGTTTGGTACAAATACCAGCCACTGGACCTCATCAGGTACACACAGTTACACACATTTTAAATCCAGTTAGCTGAGCATTGTCATGACATCTGGATGTAAGTTTGCTTTTTACCTTGTTAAATAATTTCCAGCTGAAGATCATCACAAACTCCTTCCTCTTGCGCTCTGCTCTTGTTTCAGGAGGTATTTCGGAGAGAAGATTGGTCTGTACTTCGCCTGGCTCGGCTGGTACACGGGGATGCTGTTTCCTGCAGCTCTGGTCGGCCTGCTGGTATTTCTGTACGGTGTTTTCACTCTGGAGCACTGCCAGGTCAGGTAAACACACCTCTGCTGTTTTTTTTGAAAATATGTGTCCCTAGAGCTGGTAGTTGTATTCTGACTTTCTGTGGGAGAGGAAGCCACACCTGCCTCACTCTGCTGCACAAACGCTCGGTTTAGTTAAGAGTCAAGCACCTTTTCTTATTGCAAAGCTAATTTGGTTTTGCAGATAAGGAAACGAAGTGAAATTGTCCTTTCTAATTGGTAATATCGGACGCTGCTTAACCTGAAACAAAGGGACTGAATGTTATCCACTATCTCTGGTCATTTGTAGAGGCAAATGTGCTTTGTAATTACTTCATAAGAGAGTCTGGGTGTTTTATAAGAGCAAAACGGCATCAATAACACACATAAGAGCGCGACAGCACACATACAGATGCAGTGTTTTACTTGCTTGCATTTTTTTTCAGTAAGTCCAGAGTTGCATGAGTGTGGGATTCACTGTGTTGCTCAAAGGCACTTTGACTTCCTGGACACTGTAATACCAGCTTTCCTGGAATTTGATGGGCTATGATTCATAGATTTTTACTGTGTTTGTTTTATGCTGAAGAGCTGCTACATCGATTTTAGTGGCTCCCTGCACAATGACAATCCAGATCTCCTCTATTCTTATCTAAATGTTGTTTGTTGTTCTCCAGCAAAGAAATCTGCCAGGCCACTGACATCATCATGTGCCCCATCTGTGATCAGTACTGCCCCTACCTGAGACTGTCTGACAGCTGCATCTACGCCAAGGTACTGTCACCAGAGCACCGGGGACACAGTGTTCCCAGCAGCTGCTCTGCACTTGGCCCACGTATTCATTCAAGATGTGTTTATGTGCCAACCAGGTTTTATCAGCGTGCAACTTTAGGTTACTGTTTGACAGCAAATGTTTAAAATGTAGTGTTCAGGAAGTCTACCTAAACTGTTTATCTTTGTTTTGTCTTTGTTTGTTTTTGGCATCAAGTTAAGAATGTCCTGTCTTCATTTTAAGGTCACCCATCTCTTCGACAACGGAGCAACTGTTTTCTTTGCTGTGTTCATGGCCGTCTGGGGTAAGTCTCTGTTCCTGCACCAGCTTTACACACACGGTTCATTTCTCTTAAGGTGTCCTAAGGAAATCTATAAAAGCAAACCTGCACTAAAAAAGATTTTGCCCTCAGGTTTGGCAAAACATGCACAAAGCAAAAAGTTGCCTACTGAGTCAAACACAGCAACTACAGCCAGGGGTGTCAAGCTCCGGTCCTCGAGAGCCGCAATCCAGCATGTTTTAGATGTTTCCTTCTTCCAACACACCTGATTCAAATGATCAGCTCATCATCAAGCTCTGCAGATGCCGGATAACGATCCCGATCATTTGAATCAGGTGTGTTGGAAGAAGGAAACATCTAAAACTTGCAGGATTGCGGCCCTCGAGGACCNGATCATTTGAATCAGGTGTGTTGGAAGAGGGAAACATCTAAAACTTGCAGGATTGCGGCCCTCGAGGACCAGGATTGGACACCCCTGAACTACAGCATTCAAGTGGAGTCATGTTTCCGTCCACCTGGTGACTCAAAGTGGAACATTCACTCAACCTTTAGCTCTGTTTTGGTCTCCACCAATTCCTGATGGAAATACTTCAACCTTTAGCAAACAATTGCTCCGTAGTTATCACCAGCTAGCGACTCTGTCCATCTACTATTTGGTGCTTTGCAGGTAGTGTACAGTAGGTTCATCAGTCCTTTTCCAGAGTTGACTGGAAACAACAACTAAAAGCTGCAGGCCACGAAACTGTACAAATGATCCGCATCTCTTGCAGGTGCTCTTGATGATTGTCGGCCCTGTTTTCCCACAAAAGTCGTCAGATCGTCTCTGCTGTGTGTTAGTACAGGTGTACATAGATTATGGTGTGTTTGTTTTCTTTGGTTTTCTCCTACTTTCCTTTCACTCTTTCTCGCACTTCTTTGGACACTTTTCTTTTTCCTCTTTCAGGTCCAGCAATATGACATGTAATTCAGTAAGAATCCAGCATCCAAAATAAATGAACAAAATAAAATGGAATGAATACATACATAACTAAATAAAAATCAGACTATCAAGAGGGGCCTTATATTTGTAAAGCTCCCCTTGGCAAAGTAAATCTGTTCACAGCATTCAGGTCATCATTCTGTTTGCTATGATGCTGGAACGGACACGTTAAAAAAAAAAAAAAAAACTGTAAAAATGAGCTGAAAGATGCTAAAAACACTCCTTTAAACTGATGTGAGCTGCTAATCAACAAATCTTGGTGTTTATTTTCTTTGTGATTGACAACTTTGACATTACACGTGATCATTTGATCCATTGTTTACAAAATGTTTTATTCGTGCAGCTTTAACTTCAATTCGGTGTGACTAAAAAAAAACATTAGAAAAAGCATCTCAAAGCAACATTCAAACTGTTATCACAGCGTGTAAAAATTACACATTTAACACTCTTCATGTAAATGTGTTTACAGTATGTTTGTTATGAAGAACATTAGCATTCAGAGAGAGTGCATCACCCTTTAAAATGTAAATGTCATCTGAATAACGGAGGTATGTGGCAATATTTCTTGCAGATTGCATCCAGTTAAAATGACACGCGTGGATGATGAACGGTTGATGCAATGTTGCAGCAGCTAAGACTTTTAGCGATGTAAACATGCTCTGCCAGAGCTGCAGTCGTCCCTTGCTTGTGTCAGGATGGCTTATGGTGAATTTTTCATTTTGTTTTGATCATTTACAATGATAAACTGAAGCAAATCGACGGCTTCTGATAACATTTCAGCCGTAAATGTTGCATTTACTAAAGCTGCTGATTGTAAATGCTCATTTTTGAATAATTTAAGAGCAGCTGTCATATGATAGTTAGCTTTGATTGAACTATTAATAAATGTATCTTGGTTATATCTCCGTTTGTGATGATAGTTTTCAATGTAACATAGCAAAAAAAATATAAAATGCCCAGGTGATGCACTTTCTTGGGACACGGGTTTACACCTTGAACATCCACAGTTGCATTTAGGTTGTGTAAAGGCCACTTTGAAGATTTAGGAGCTTATCAGCGTTGGACAAGGTCCCAGGGTATAGGAGGTGACCACAGAGTGTCTGGGGTGGCTTCATATTTTTCCACGGCTGCAGACGTGGCAGGTGATGAAGCACCGGCAGCTTCAGTACAGAGCTGGTAGTTCGGCTGTTTGTAAATGTCTGAGTGAAAGAGTCTGAGGGCTGAAGAAACACACAAAAAAAGGAAATTCACTTTGGTGTGAAAGAAAAAAAACAGTACAGAGCAGAAAATGATGTACAAACTACTTGAGGGAGAAGCTCTTTGGCACTGTTACCTGCTAACTGAACAAATTTATTTTATGTGCTATCTTAATATTTTTAATCAAAAATTTTTAATATTAACAATATTATACAAAATCACACCGAGATGCATCTAATATGTACCTTTATACCTACATATACAGTCGTGACTCGATAATTTGACCCTTAACAATCCTAAACTTTGCTATCCAACAGGTTTTTAGGAAAAACAAACGGAACCCATTAAAAATAATCTTAATATACAGACAGCCTTGGATTCTGACTCCGACATGACATTTTATGTCACAAATAAGGATAACGTTGTATTATCTGACTGAACAATCCCACAGATTGGCTACGTTCACATTGCAGGACTTAATGCTCAATTCAGATGTTTTTGTGAAATCTGATTTTTTCTGTGAGTTCGTTCACATTTCCAGTTAAATACAACTTGTATGTGATCTGCTGTGTGAACTTCATACGACCCAAAAGTGTCCTGCATGCGCAGAAGAGGACACGACGACGTCACACACAGCGAGCGTGCTCAGTATTTACGGAAGTAAACATGGATGGTTGTGCCGCCGCCACCACTGATGGTGGAAACAGAACTGTGACCGCTAACCAAACGAGCATCAGCAGCCAAGTACTGCCTGTGCCTTCCGACCACTTCCACCCCGTCGGGGCACAACCTCGGGGTGGAAGTGTCCCCCAGACCACACAGAATATTCGGATATTCATCATTAATTGGGCCTGAATATCAAGAGACCAGAAAGTGCTATTGGGACCAGTCCTACTAGTTATTATAACAACTATGAACAATAATAACAACAAATGAGCCTTCCAGCATCAAGCCCTCCTTGTATCTGGACCTCCGTCTTGACAATCCGACAGCCTTGCTATCCGACATAAAAGAAGGTTTTACATTTAGTGTTGGATTATCGAGTCACGACTGTACCTATATTTGAAGCATTGCATTGCAGTTAGAGTCAGGTGTCTCTTGTTGTTACTCCCAAGTGTAGATGTCCCAATAGCATCAGAACTTTCTGTTAATTTCATTAACTCTGAATACCAACCTAAACTACAAACTAAAACCTCTGCAGCAAAACCACTCACCGGTGATTTTGTTCTCAGCGTCTGGGTGTTTGAGAGCCTCTCGTACTCTGTTGTCGAATCTCCAACATCTCAGCATGAAGAACAGAACTAAGCACAGCTGGAGGACAAAGGTCAGCACGGCCAGCACGATGACGGTGTTGTTGACTGTCGGAGGAGGAGGAGACAAGAGGAGAGGCACGAACACATGAGCACATGAGCTTCAACGTATCATACACAGGGTTCATATCCCAGATAGAGAAATCACAAATGACTGAATGTTCCTTGGCTCCTGCACTCTAATGAAAGCAGTGCAGAGTCTGTAGCGTAACTGTGCGTTAATAATTCACACGCTCAGATATATTCGGACAATGTGTTCATCTCAGTGGAAACGTGATCTGTTTCCCACCTGTAAATATTTTATGGGGAATTGCAGCGATAGAGGAACTCAGTTAGAATCAATACAAGACTATAAAACAGAGTTACGAGTGTGTTTTTAAATTGCAAGGTGTTACTTGTAAAGATTGACAGACCAGATTATCTGCATTTTAGAAGTTCAGAAGTCAGTAATTGGACGTGTTACCGGCTGATGATGGTTGAGGTGTTGACTCCCAGTAGGTGACGTCTGGCTGAGACAAGCCCAGAGTCAGGTTCTGGTTCTGGAGGAGCCCCATCAGGCGGATATCCTCACTGCTCCAGGTGATTCCCTGTGCAGGCAAGGACGCGTGTAAGACTATGTTTTCTAACAACAAGAGGATCAGATGTGGTTTGGATTGATTTGGAGAGGAGCTACTGAGTCGTCTTAAGTGTCGTCAACTTTGGAGCGGATGATGGAGAAACTCTCCAAAATTCAAAATTCCAGTAAAGGATTCATTTACCAACGATGGTGTTAATGAAACAGATGCAAGAAACAGTTCATGGAAAAAAAAAAACTAGTAAAGCCTCAGACCTGCCTCACATCAAGCTTTCTCTGGATGCATCGTATTCTATCTTGTCAACAAGCTGAAACCCATGAAACGAGGTAGCTCGGATAAAAAACATATCTGTTTACGTCTCTTACATAATGCTGGCATCCTGACAGATCTCTGAGCACAAAGGTCTCCGCTCTGATTCAAAGCAGGCATGTTGCATTAACAGTTCGCATCTTAACTCCTGCACCACAGCGGCGCCCTTTTCCACCCACAGTCCTGTCACGCTGTGGGTGGAAAGAGCAGCTTCGTCTGTGCAGCTTCGCACAGACACACTACTGTTTGTCGTTTTGAAAAAGACAACAATAAACTTAATCAACCTATCGTCAACCTGTGCATTGTGTAGAAGGCGTTTATTTCAGATAGAGCTCCCTTATCTTGATGTGGGCTCTGTTTTTTGAAATGCTAATGAAATCTAACGGTCTGTGTGCAACAGTACCAAAAAGTTCAAGGCATTAAACCTCTAATCTAAAATGTTCTGGTATGAGAAGGCACAATTCTAACTTCAATTATCTGAGTCTCTCACTTATCTTATCTACAAACTAATACTAACAACCTTTGGAGTAGTTGTAAAGCTCTGAACTAGAGGTAAGCTATAAAACAAATAGTTTCTTCAAGTTATGTAACGATGAATTGACTTTGAATAGCAACATATTAAGCTTATTTATCATTTAATATTAAAACTGTAAAAACAGCAAAAGGAAACTGGCCATGACATTTCTCAAGACAGAGTGCAAAAAAAGATCTGAGACTGCTTAAATAAAGTGAACAAACCAGAGTACAAAAGACGTACTTTACACAAAGTTCCTCTAATGAATCTGTGAAGCCCACTGGAGAGGACTAGTGCTGTTTTTACAGCTGCACAGACATGTCAGAGTTCAGTCTGAAGTCTGTAAACACAGCGACAACACTCCATTTAACTGTTTTTATCAGAAAAGTTTATGTACTGACCTTACAGTCTCTGCTTCTCTGTGCCGTTGGTGCTGCCGTCCAAATGAATGTATTTTTGGGTTCAACTGTCGCAGAGAATCAACTCAAATTCCTTCATTAACGTTCCTCAGAAGTGTGCACCCCAGCTGGCTCCCCGTGGAAAACAGTGCCCTCCTCAGCCTCCACGTTCACAACATCCTACTCTACTGTATGTCCAGCAGGAATGTGGACGTAACAGAGAAAATACACTGAAAGCGTGCTTTAAAATCCTGCAGCGGTTTTCAGTGGAGAGGCAGGTAACATGTGTGCAATAAGTAAGCTATCGGCAGGACTTTGTTCAGCTCCGTCCCCTCTGGCAGTGAGAATGACAGCAATCATGCAAACACTGGGTCAAAAAGCGCTTCAGTGTCACTTTGCACCATGAGAGTTTCCAAACAGCCTGATTGCCTCGATCAAATCAGCTGGTCTTACTAGTAATCACTGTTCAGGACTGAGCCAAGCACACGCTATGACATCCAGAAGGCTTTGATCATGGCTTTACCTTTTGGGTCGCCTCCTACTTTTAATTTCTTACCAATGTTGACTGTTTGTTCCAACAGGATGTAACAGAGCATCTAAGCCAACTTTAAAGCTGCATGTTGTGATCTACAGTGAACTAGATGATACACTGCTGCGATATTGTACCACCACCCAGAGAGTGGTGCATGTACTTTTTATTTATGCATGTTTTTTAATACAAAGAAAGTGGAGAACCAATGTTAGCATTCTGCACGTGTTTCTCATTGATCCACAGTGCAACAAACCTTTTCTAGGTTATCTAGTTTTGCAACTTAAGTGCTGCACTTTAGCTATTTTTACAATGAGTCAATGTAAAAACGTGAATCAAAGAATTATCACCCAATTCTACAGCTTCCCTCTGCTCTGTGGTGTGTTTCAGTGGCTTTCGGCTCATTGTTTTGGTTTGTCCGCCCACAACCGTATTGTTTGGGTTCATTCTCATAAAGAAAAAAGAAAATAGGAGAAAAAGAAATAAGGCAGGTCGTGCTAACATGCTGTTCTCTCAATGACTTCAATTCAAATCAATTATATTTGAACATAATCACCTCATAGCACTTCACATAGCAAGACTGCACAAGTTTTTTTTTTTGTTTTGTTTTGTTTTTAAAGATATTTTTTTGGCCTTTTTGCCTTTATTTGACAGGACAGTTGAAAAAGAGACAGAAAAGTGGGGTAGAAGAATGGGGGAAGGGGTTGCAGCAAAGGGCCATGAGCGGGACTCAAACCCATGGCCGCTGCATCGGGGACTGTAGCCTCTGTATGTGGGTCACCGGCTCAACCAGGTGAGCTATAACGGCGGCCCAGACTGCGCAAGTTTTGAACAGAATAACTCAACAAATCCAAAGTTTCTTTTAGATTCCCTTTGAGGAAGCATTTGGTGACATTGGGAAGGAACAAAAAAAACTCCCCTTTACCAGGAAGGACCAGAAAAAACCTTAGAGTGAACCAGGCTCAGGGAGGGTGGCCGTCTGTCTCGATAATAGTCTGTTGCCAATAAAAGTTAACAAACTACTATGTGTAGTGTAGAAATATGCAGCTCTCACAAAAACATGATCACCCAGATTTACAGTTTTCCTCTACGATGAATTCAGTGTCTTTCAGTTCATTGCGTTGGTTTGACTCCCTTTAACCTGAGTATTGTCATTGACTCCCACCACTCTTATCAAAAACTTATTTTTGAAAAAGTTAATTACAGTTTTCAAAGACAAAGTTGTCGACAAACTAACTTGCTCATAGGTTAGCATTCAGCAGGTTAAGGCTTCCTTCAGGGGTTGGTGGAGACCAAACACAGAATGAAAAGGAGGAAGTGAAGCTAAAACAAATGTTTGATTTACATCATCTGGAAGTATGACTCAAGAAAGAATGTTCTTCCATCTGCTGAATGTGTAAGTAGGCGACTATTTGCTAAGCTGTTAGCCACAATAGTTTCATTTGTCATCAGTGTGTTGGTACAGATTGTTCTGCTACCTTTGAGTGATAAGCGTGACCAGTTAATTATAGCTACAGCAAGAAATAAGAAAAACAGTAAGAGCAGAAAAGTATTTATTACGCTGAACACAAATATAAACACAACACTTTTGTTTTTGCTCCCATTTTTCATGGGCTGAACTCAAAGATCTACGACTTTTTCTATGTACACAAAAGGCCTATTTCTCTCAAATATTGTTCACAAATTTGTCTAAATCTGTGTTAATGAGCACTTTTTCTTTGCTGAGATAATCCATCCATCTCACAGGCGTGGCATCAAGATGCTGATTAGACAGCAGGATTATGTGCCTTACGCTGGCCACAATAAAAGGCCACCCGAAAATGTGCAGTTTTGTCACACAGCACAACGCCACGGATGTCGCAGGTTTTGATGAAGCGTGCAATTGGCTGCTGACTGCAGGAATGTCCACCAGAGCTGCTGCCCATGAACTGAATGTTCATTTCTCTACCATAAGCCGTCTCCAAAGGAGTGTCAAAGAATCTGGCAGTACAGCCAACCAGCCTCACAACCACAGACCACATGTAACCCCACCAGCCCAGGACCTCCACGTCCAGCATCTGTATAATAATAATAATAATAATAACTGAATAGATTTATAGAACGATTTTCTTACTCAGGGAGTAACTCAAAGTGCATACACACAATCAGTTATTCATTCTGGTGGTGGTAAGCTATGATTGTAGCCACAGCTGCCCTGGGGCAGACTGACACCTCCAAGATCGTCTGAGACCAGCCACCCAGACAGCTGCTGCAACAATCGGTTTGCATAACCAAGGAATTTCTGCACAAACTGTCAGAAACCATCTCAGGGATGCTCGTCTGCGTGCTCGCTGTCCTCATCGGGGTCTCCACCGGACTGCAGTTTGTCGTTGTAACCAGCTTGGGTGGGCAAATGCTCACATTTGATGGCGTCTGGAACTTTGGAAAGGTATTCTCTTTACGGATGAATCCTGGTCTTCACTGTACAGGGCAGAAGGCAGACAGGTTGTATGGCGTCATGTGGGTGGGCGGTTTGCTGATGTCAGCATTGTGAGTCAAGTGGCCCATGGTGGCGGTGGGGTTATGATATGGGCAGGTGTATGTTATGGACAACGAATACAGTTGTATTTTACTGATGGCATTTTGAATGCACAGAGATGCCGTGACGAGATCCTGAAGCTTATTGTTGTGCCGTTCATCCATGACCATCTCCTCATGTTGCAGCATGATAATGCACTACTCCAGGTTGCAAGAATCAGGATACATTTCCTGGAAGCTGAAAACATCCCTGTTCTTGCTTGGCCAGCGTACTCACTGGACATGTCATCCACTGAGCATGTTTGGGATGCTCTGGATCGGCGTATACGACAGCGTGTTACAGGTCCTGCCTAAATCCAGCAATTTGGCCATTGAAGAGGAGTGGACCAACATTCAACAGGCCACAATGAACAACCCGATGAACTCTATGTGAAGGAGATGTGTTGCACTGCATGAGGCAAATGGTGGTCACACCAGATACTGACTGGTTTTCTGGCCCCCCAATACAGTAAAACTTCACATTTACAAACATTTACCTTTTATTGTGGTCAGCCTAAGGCACACCTGTGCAATAATCATGCTGTCTAATGAGCATCTTGTTATGCCACACCTGTGAGGTGGATGGACTATCTTGACAGATTTAGACAAATTTGTGAAAGATATTTGGGAGAAATGGGCCTCTTGTGTACACAGAAAAAGTCTCAGATCTTTGACTTCAGCTCATGAAATATGGAAGCAAAAACAGAGCGTTGCATTCATATTTTTGTTCAGTGTAGTAACACAAATATTCAAATGCAAACATGTTTTATTCACATCCTCCAGCAACGGTGTTCCTGGAGTTCTGGAAAAGACGCAGAGCTGTCCTCGCATACGACTGGGACCTCATCGACTGGGAGGAAGAGGAGGTAAAGTAGCAGCTGTGCTTATTTCTGTACCTGAAGCTAATGTGCTTGCAATCAAATATAAGGAATGTTGTAAAAAGAATTTAGATGTGAAAAGACAAAGCCATTCAAAGTTCTTTCTAAAGTTGTTCCTGCACTTTGAGTTTCACCTCAAACGTTGAGGCCGTCACAGCAGGTCTACCCTGGAGAAAAGCTTGCCTACTCAAACCTTTTTAAGTCCGTGTCAGTCTACAGGTATATATTTAAAGAAGGTGGGTTTGATGTATTGAGAGCCTGCGCAGAGAAAATCTCACCCAAATCAATTCATGACTCAGAGAAAATGTACAGTTTCAACACATGAAAGCTGAAACCGACTCGAACCCTACACCGTTGTCGCAATGTGATTCCGTCGTGTCAGTCATTTTTTGTGGGTTTATTCTGTTCCTGGCCGTCTCATGTCATCAACCTCCAACTCCTGTCTGTCAATCATTCTTAAGCTGGTGAATGTGTTCTTTGAAACGCCGCTCTTTGTGGGTGTGAGAGTGACTCAGAATCTCAGTCTGCTTTGTACAGAACAGATGACAAGACGGATAACAAACTGTGATTCTGGTTTTTGGTCGAATCTTCTGGACATGAAGGTGGATTACTGCAAAACGTAGCAGCGGCTTTGTCAAAAACTGATGCTTTCAAGATCAAGGGGTCGACATGCTACATATGCTCTGAACACAGTACGAAGCAAAAAGAGTGCTGACAATTGTGTGCAGCACCAAAGTGTTCAGTGTTACATAAATAATTTTACATGTCAATTTATAACTGCCTAATTGCCACCAATCACCCTTCACCTTCTCCTTCTCTTACACAAGTGCACCGAGAGCAGTTTGCCTTCAGGGCTTTATACTTTCTGCCAAAAAGTTTTCTTTTCAAAAGGCTTTCAGGCAAAAAGATTTTCGATTTTAACCCCAAAAATGATCTTTTCCTAAATCTAACCAAGCACATGGTGCCTAAATCTAAGTCTAATGAGAAAAAGTGAGCAGACCTAGGATTAATTATTTCTTCAGGAGTTAAAATGAAGTCAATGCCCCTATAATGAAGCACATTTAATATTTTAAACACCGCTGTAACTGAGAGCTAATTAGGTGCTTTCTTGCTACAAAAGTCAGTCTAGTGCAAATCAAGTGGGACCACAGCTTAATATATTCCCAACTGGCAGTACTAATTTTCAGGAAGCAGAGCTGCTTTGAAAGCACAAATAAATGGCAAATTAGGCAACTGGGGGAAAAATATTACATTTAGCATTACTTATATGGACTAAAAATGTAAAACCGTCGTCATTTCCAGTCTACACTTAAAGTCTACAAAACCAAGAGGTAAAATTCAAGTTTTATTGTGTCTTGTATGTTAAACTTAGAGGTAAAAATAAAAAATCCTTTAGCCTCCCATCAGCTAGATGGTTTCCGAGGTTCTACATAGAGTTTAGGTAATGAATAGTCTCCACCTAAAAGTTTGTATAATCAGCCACTGGCGAAGCTCACTAAATTTTCTTCTCTTGGCTGCAAGAGTGAACACAAGAGTCTTCATGCACTCCTTGCATCTGAGGAACTGTTACCCTGATTCTTTAGTTGGAAGCCCAAGAACAAACCGGAGAAATCTTCAGTTCACAGATGCAGAATTTATTTAGGTCACAGGTGAAGTGAGGCAGCGCTGGGCTCAGAGTGACAGAGCTCTCGCGAGAACTCTATCAGCAGGAGCCCCGATATCTGGAAATGATTCACATTTATCTTCTTGGGCTGGGCCTGCCCCGGACAGAGGTTGGACTTGTGCACAGCCGAGATTGATTGGCCAGTTACTGTGACGTGAACAAGCCAACCACTGTTCACGTGGAAGTTCACTGAAATGTAAACAGAAGCTGCCTGGATTGAAAACAAAGTGTGTGTGTGTGTGTGTTGTCCAAAAGGTGTGTATCTAAAGTAACTGATAGAACAGAGGCGTTTCTGCTGTCTCCTAGGATGTGAACCAGTTCTAACCGGCCATGTTACCTTCAAGGACGTGCAGCAGAAAAGTGCAAAACAGGATCATAGGTTCAGTGGAGAAATACAGATTCAGAATACATAATAGCTCGAAACACAGCTAATTATAACAGAGATGATGTTAGAGAGCAGAACGCTGCTGCTCGACAGCTGGTTTCTAAAACATGGTGCTTGTTGTTATGTTGTTATTCTACAGAAGCTGTTCCTGCACAGCATGTTTCATATTTGTTTCACATTTTGCATGAGTCCGTGTTTTTCACCCACTCTGTCCCTACAACAGGTAGCCCATTGAAGCCCTTCACATGTTTAGCTTTTTGTCTTTCAGGATGAAATACGCCCCCAGTTTGAGGCCAAATACTCCAAGAAGGAGAGAATGAACCCCATATCTGGGAAACCTGAACCCTACCAGGCCTTCACTGACAAATACAGTCGCCTCATCGTCTCAACATCCGGAATATTCTTCATGGTGAGTTTATGGGGTAAATAAATGTCAAATTGCAGCTGCTCCACTCTCACCTTTGTATTTACTCTGCCTTCAAGAATCATTTATTTTAATGGAAAGTGTTGGCAACACATTTTATCTGTGAGGATTTAAATATTCGTTGGCAAATGCATTTCCTTAATGCTCAATTATGTGGCTTATTTTCATATTAATTCCTATTTTGTTTGCACAGAAGCCAGTTAACAAATGCTTGATAAACAAACCTCATACTGAATGTGTCTTTGCTACAGCACAGTTTCTTATTTCCACTTCCAGTATTGGACTTGTCTGCATGTAAGGTACTTTGTCCTGTTTGCACTGTGTTCTGCAAAGCTCCTGATAACTCGTTTTGTGCTGAGCAAGTGCAGTAGTTTTACTCCATAGTGGTGTTTTTCATGTCATTCTATGCTGTCACAGATCCTGGTGGTGATCGCCGCTGTGTTTGGCATCGTCATTTACCGCGTGATCACCGTCAGCACCTTCGCCGCCTTCGGCTGGGCTCTCATCAGGAACAACTCTCAGGTGGCGACCACGGGCACGGCAGTGTGCATCAACTTCTGCATCATCATGCTGCTCAACGTGGTGAGTTTCTGCTGTCCGTCAGCATCAGCGGTGCAGAGATAAGATTGGTTCAAATTGACTCCCCCCGGTAATTATCATGACTCAACCAAAGGCAAAGAACAACTTGTTTAAAAGCTGTATATGCTTAGTCAAAATGGAGAGAATTACACATAATGCAATGACAAATCAGCTATAATTTCCCCTTTTTTTCAGCTTTATGAAAAAGTTGCTCTCCTACTCACAAATTTAGGTAAGTTGGCTGCACCAACCATCCAGGATGTGGAAATTATCGTAAAATAAACCTTCAATCTAAGTAAAATGTGTATTTCTGTATGCACATGTCAAAGAATTGCATGGATATTTGATTTTATTGGTTTCTCCTCTCTGTGCCACTCACAGAGCAGCCACGGACGGAGTCAGAGTGGGAAAACAGCTTCACCCTCAAGATGTTCCTGTTTCAATTTGTTAACCTCAACAGTTCAACTTTCTACATCGCCTTCTTTTTGGGAAGGTGAGAAATTCACACACATCTCACAAACACAGGGCAGCATGTTCCGCTTTCTCAGTGACAACAGATGCCCATAGTGGCACAAATAGCAGTTAAGTTGCCTGTTTTATGTGATTTTAACACAGTGCACTCAGTAAAAGATAGATGTGGAATAAGATACACAGAAACACAAAAGCCTAGGAAAAATGCTTTAAATGAATAAAACTGTAAACAACAATAATACAGCAGAAGATATGGAGTACAAATAAATAATTGACTGACAGGATGATGGAGAGCTGGTCAGGATTTATAAACTAACTGCAGCCTGAGACTGAAACCAGCCCTGAGTTCAAACAGCTCTTCTGTGGCGGTTTGTTGCTTCAGGTGTCATATTGCATTAAAAGTCTGAGCTTTTATCAAGGCGGAAACTATTTTATCTTTCACCTCAGAGTTAATTACAAGATCCAGATCTCATACGTTTAAGAAAAGATCTTATGACAATGAGACGACTATCTCATAATAAGAAGATAATCTACAATAGACTGACGAGGGAGGAATATAGAACTTAAAATCAAAGTAATAGCTGTCTGAGGCCTCTATGCAGTGACGCAAAAAGCTGTAAATTCAGTGAGCTTAATATTCCAAGTTAATAGGCAAGAAGCAGGACTGTGTTGCAGCTCACGGGGTTCCTTCCTGAACCTATGGTGACAAAACACCTCCCAGTATTTACTACTCAGGCTCATATTTATGGCATTAATTCCAGCAGCACCATCACCCCTGTCCTCTCAAGTGTAGCAGTGATGGATAACCCCCGTAACCCTTTTTGGGGATCTTGTAATTACGCAATAAAAAATCTTAACTGCGACACAGAGCCTTCAGATTTTTTTTTCCTTTGGTGAATGCAGTGCGCTTCCAGAACTCAGTGATAATGTGATGATAATATGAAGATAATATTGTTTCGGTAGGTCGACTGCATTTTGCCAAGGTGGTGTTTTGGAAAAGTTACGCTTTGAGAGAAACGATACAACCTGCAGAGTGGAGCCACTGAACATTAAAATGTGCTATAAAATAATCCCATTCTTTTTGAAAACGCTTTATATGTAGCCGCACCCCACCTCGCTTCCTTTAGAATGTGCTGAGCAATGAAATTCCTGCCACACCAGCTCACCTTTGACTCAAACACTGTGAAACTACTCCAGGAAGAAGAACATGATGTGATAAATCTGCAGAAACCTGCAAGTAGACAGGATTGGTTCCTTTGGTTTGTTACATGTGAAATCCTGGAAGTCTGAGTCTGTGTTTTGGAGACTCTGATCAGTTCAGACGTCGTGTAAGCCAGCGGTCTTCAACCTTTTTTGCACCACGGACCGGTTTTAAGCAAGAGATTTTTCTACGGACCGGTCATTACGCACATAACAAATAATAATTGGTTTTTTTTCTATTGAAAAGTTTCATAAATTAATAAAATTAATTTTTATTGCTTAACATGTTTACTTTTTCTCCTGTCTCAGTATTAAGTCTCTCCCACTTTCCAAAGCTGCTCTCCTGAGACGTTTGTTTTTGACTGACGGCTTCGTTTAGCAGCCGGGCATAAAAACTGACAGTCAAGTGACGGGAAACGAACACAAACGGAAGTGACGGGAAGACGAGCTAGATATTTTTCAAAATAAAACATCCTGCAGACTCCGCTGGAGATAAAAATAATAAATAAAATGTTTTCATTCTATCTGTGCGACCCGGTACCAAATGACCCACGGCCCGGTACCGGTCCGCGGCCCGGTGGTTGGGGACCACTGGTGTAAGCTGCTTCTTTGACTTGCAGTGTATCTTCCAACATATGAATGAACACCATATGGACATGTGAACATTTAAATTCACTGGTAAACCCACTCACATTTTCGGGTGACGCAGGAATGTAGGTGTGCATGTCAACTAAGTGACAGACGAAACAGATGGAACATCACCAGAATTATTTACTCTGTCTTCACTGAGCTTCCTAAGAGATGTGAAGCAGTCACAGCTCTTATAGTGCCAGACAACTCATGTCTCATTATAAAGATTAAAAAAATTTATAACAGAAAATTTTATGACATAAATACAGCAATCTCAGAGGTTTTTTTTGTTCCATTGCATTATTTGTGATGCAGTAACTCTTGGTGTGCTTTTTCCTTGGTTGACAGATTCACAGGCCGGCCTGGTGCATATCTACGCCTCATCAATCGCTGGAAACTGGAAGAAGTGAGTAATCACTTTGCTTGTCCCGTTGGGGAATAACAGCAAAGCATTATGGATGCAAGTATTTCAGAATTGGACATTAAGCTATTACTGCGTGGCCAACCACCAGGCGTTTAACCCCCATCAGCAGTAAGCGGCACTTATGGGAACATGCAGGGAAAAATCACACAATGAAGTGGTCCGAGGGGACAAAAGGCCTGAGCCGACTCTTTTAGGTGCTGAGCTAATGTGCTCCCATTTGTGTTCCCATGGCTGCAGAGATGGAAAAACATTCTGTAATGTGACATGTGCAGTACAAGTGTAGCCCCGCTCAGCCTTTTGTGGTCCCACAGCATCACGGCAGCATTGGAGAACTTACTGCCTTTCAATGCGCAAAGCTGCAGAGAGAAGTCATGGTGCATGTATGAATAATGATCATCGTGACTACAGACTCTCCAACATCACCTCGATGTTCCCCACTTCGTGATGCCTGCAAAGCTTGAGACTAATGACAAGAGTTTCTACTGCAATGCAGAGTGTTTCCAACCTTTCCTTACATTTTAAATATTCCGTTGTTAGCAAAGGTAAGAGCTTAATGTGACACTGTCTCTTTCTCTTTACCCCGTGTCTCTGCAGTGCCACCCCAGCGGCTGCCTCATTGACCTCTGTATGCAGATGGGGATCATTATGGTGCTAAAACAGACGTGGAACAACTTCATGGAGCTCGGCTATCCGTGAGTTCCCCTTGTATTTTTGGAGTCTTGATAATGAAAGAAATGTAACAATAATAATTTTATTTGTAGCGCCTTTCAAGACGACCAGCTTCAAAGGGCTTTACAGTAAAAACAAGTAAGATAAAACTAAAATTTGAAACAGTAAGAGCCCATAAGAACACAGTAAAATTATATAAATAAAACCAACAGTTAAGAAAAGGCCAAACGATAAAAGTGAGTTTTAAGAAGTGATTTAGAAGAAGACACTGAGTTTGCCTGCCTGAGGTCTTCAGACAGGACGTTACAGAGCTTGGTGACCCAAACTGCGAAGGCTCGGTCACCTTTAGTGATGAAACAGGACTTAGGGACCTTCAGAAGGGTCCCGCCGGTGGTTTTCAGGCTCATGGTGAATTAATAGTTCCTGGATGTAGGCAGGAGTCCAGCCATTCAAGGCTTTAAAAACAAACAGTGAAAAGTTAAAATCAATTCTAAAACTCACAGGTAGCCAGTGAAGGGCAGCAAGGACTGGTGTAGTGTGGTCATCTCTCATAGTTCATGTTAGAATACGTTGTAGTGTCGGTCAAGGGATGGCAAGAGGGAGCTTTGCAGGAGCTCAGGACAGGGGCAAGGTGGTGCAAACGTTTACAGGAATGGCTCTGTAATTGGCCCTTGCAGTCTTTCTGTTTCTGTGTCGGAACCAAAAGGTTTGACGTTACCTCAAAGTCCACCAAGACACTGACAACCAGTTACTGGGGACGTAACTCCGGTTCTGAGCATGTAATAAACAATATTTAATGTTGTTGATGGTGACGTTAGAGAGGAGAAGACTGGTACTGAACCAGAACATGGAGAGGGTAGAAAAAACTACACTCGTCGTCCTTTCTGGCTTTCTGACTTTCACCAATAAGCATTAATAGTCTCAGTCTCCTGACCTCTCATTACTTCCAGCTTATCCAAAAATGAGCGAGTGTGAGTGAAGTTGATGTGGGTCATGCAAACATCTCAGGACTATGGACTTTCCTATGACAGTACCCACCTGTCATTTAAAGTGGCCACACCCTAACTATGCATAACTTTAAGGAAGGGGTGTCCAATCCTGGTCCTGGAGGGCCACCGTCCTGCATGTTTTAGATGTTTCTTGTGTGTCTTCCAACACACCTGAAATGATCAGGATCTTTATCAGGCTTCTGCAGAGCTTGATGATGAGCTGATCATTTGAATCAGGTGTGTTGGAAGAGGGACACATCTAAAACATGCAGGATTGTGGCCCTCCAGGACCAGGATTGCCCACCCTTGCTTTAAGGCTTAATACAATTTAAACGAGTGAGAAATATAAACATTGAACCCCGGTACAGTTGTCACGAAAAATAAAATAAGCTATAGAGGCTAAAACTGTTTGTTGTAGCAGGATGTAAACGTGTGTATTTCTACTGTAAAGTTGGGCATTTTAACATGAGGGTAAGTAGGAACTGGAGCCAGTCTCACGTGGACATTTGAGGAACTTTAACTTTTGGCTCCTTTGCATTGGTTTCATGTTTCAGGCCCAGAGATTGCTGCTTGGCACGTGTCCAAAAATATAAATGTTGCGGTGCCCGTGGCCTTGAATGTGCTGCAGATGTTATGGCGTTTGTTTATGCGGTAGAGATAATTGCGACTATCTGGCACGTAATTATGTATCGGCGCTGCATCCAAATCAGAAATGTATCCACGGCTATCTGCCCTTTTCCCCCTCGTGAGTCTTCTCTGTAGCAAACACTGTGTAGAGACTGAGCAAGTGTGTCTATGAGGGGGAATCCAAACATATCTTCATAAAAAAAAACGTGGGCACCTAACGACTGGATTGCCATCAAATGTAGTTAAACATTCATGTTTTTCTCAGGATAAAATGTAATCAAAGCAAAAACGTTCATCTGTTTGTTTATGGTTTGTTTTTAATAACACTTGCAGAGCTAATGACATTCATGTTAGCCTCTGCTGGATTTGTGTGGACTTGTCCAGCTGACCAATCTGCAGATTATACACACACACACACACACACACACACACACCAGTAATTTCCCAAACTGAATGACAACACACAAATATTAATTTAGCAGCAGTCTTCAGTGTTCCTGACCAGCTGGACTATAATAACAGAATAACGACAGAACCAACTGGGTCACCCCGTGTTGCTGATTTGTCAGGCTGATCCAGAACTGGTGGACGCGGCGGAGGCTGAGGAGAGAACACGGCCAGAACGCCAAGGCCAGCTTCCCGCAGTGGGAGAGGGATTACCACCTGCAGCCGATGAATGCCTACGGACTGTTCGATGAATACCTGGAGATGAGTACGTTGCACCTCGAGCACACTGCAAACATTTCTTTGTGTGTTTAACACCGATAAACCCGATAAACCTCGCCCACGTTAGTGACACGACATTTAATATCAATTTTGGATTTTAAAGTTATCCTCAAATGTACTCCACGGTTTAATCTTCTGTGATAGAATTTTCTAAGCAATTTTTTATTTTTTTTTCATTTTATGACCCAGCAGCTACAATCCATGTTATGTAATTGTGACACTGACTTCAGCTGGATTGAGTCTGAGCTGGACGCTTTTCCACGTGTTCACGGCTTTTTTTGTTTCTCTCCTCTCTCTATTTTACCCACCTGTATGAAGTTCTCATTTACATTTTGTGACTGGCTGGATTACCTTTTACCAAGCAGGCTCCTCATGTTTTATGTAAACAAGGGGCAAAAAGTGTGTGAAGTAGAAGCTCATAGTGACCAGCTTTAAGAAACACTCTGGTATCTTTTGGCTCACTGTTGTGATTTTCCATCCTGCAGCTTTACTGTTTCGGTCCAGTCTAACTGAGCTCAGCAGACAATTTTGGTGAAAAAGCTCTGATAAACTACCTGTACACTAGATGCCAGACACCAAACAGCAGAGAGACAAAGCTGGCTACCAGGCTGCTGAGCACAGTGGCGCAATCCCAATCTGAGGCCTCAACACTGAACCCTCACAGACTTAACTGACGTCACACTTGTGGTGCTTGTGTGTGGGAATTCACGAGGACTCGAAACGGTATTAAAAAAAAACAAAAACAAATTTGCTCTTCGGTTAGCTGCTCAGTTGATCACTGCCCTGTTTGTGACATTGCAGACTTTACATATTTTAGCGAGATATCAGAAGTCAAAAAGGCCATAAACATTTGTATATCCTGACTAAAAATCCAAATGATTCAACAAATGTACAATAGATAACCACAATGCAAGTAGCCAGATGCTGTCATTTCATGTAGCCCCTGTGATGTCACCCTTTGGTTCGTGGATGACTGCCAATCGTCAAGCCTCGAATTTAGAATTTGGCATCACTATGTTGGTCTTTCAAAATTGTATGTGAGTAGTGAGGTCTGGATGTGACTGAGAACCTGAGGACACTTTCCAACCCTATATAATGAGTGACATGTTAGTTACAAGGTAGCCCTGCTTTATTGTCTATTTTACTGTAAATGGGACCATAATTTGTAAAATGAACATTGTGTTGTCTTAAAGGAGACCTAAAAGTGAAGATTGAGATCATTTTCTCATAGACCAGCGGTCCCCAACCACTGGGCCGCGGACTGGTACCGGGCCGTAGGTCATTTAGTACTGGGCCGCACAGAAAGAGTAAAAATGTTTTATTGGTTAATTTTTATTTCCAGCGGACTCTGCAGGGTGTTTTATTTTGAAAAATGAGTAGCTCATCTTCCCATCACTTCTGTGCTTGTTTCCTGCACTTGACTGTATGTTTTTACGCCCCACCGCTAAATGAAGCCGTCAGTTTAACCGCCGCTGCCAAAATGAATAAAAAAAGAGCTTCTTTAAAAGTGGGAGAGACTCGATGCTGAGACAGAAGAAAAAGTAAACACATATTTAGCAATAAAAGGTAATTTTGTTTGTTTATGACACGTCCTAATAGTTAAAACGATTAATTTTTGTTGTGTGCGATGACCGGTCCGTAGAAAATGTTCTTGCTTAAAACTGGTCCGTGGTGCAAAAAAAGGTTGAAGACTGCTGTTATAGACTTTATACAACTGGACCTGTTTTTGCAATCGGAGGAGTCGCCCCCTGCTGGCTGTTTGAAAGAATGCAGGCTTAACCTTTTCATTGGCTTGACCTTTCAGACCTGGAGGCTACATCTGTTTTTTAAATACAGTCTGTGGTAAATAGCTAAAAATTTGCCGGAGGAGAGGAAGAACTATTGATCTTTTATAATTAATGACTCTATATTCTAAAATTATAGGTTCAAAGCAACAGTTTGCAAACATGATGAACATAAAAAAACGCTTGTGCTTTCTTTGTTTCAGTCTTACAGTTTGGCTTCACCACCATCTTCGTGGCAGCTTTTCCTCTCGCCCCTCTCTTGGCGCTGCTCAACAACATCATCGAGATTCGTTTGGACGCCTACAAGTTTGTCACACAGTGGCGGCGACCTCTGCCATCACAAGCCAAAGACATAGGTAGATAACGCTTGGTATATCCTTTTTTAAAAAAGGTGTTTTGGTGTCATTTTGAACATGCGTGATGTGCATGGCAGGGATCTGGTACGGCATCCTGGAGGGCATCGGCATCCTGTCTGTCATCACCAACGCCTTTGTCATCGCCGTTACCTCGGACTTCATCCCTCGCCTTGTTTACGCCTACAAGTACGGACCTTGTGCTGGTCAGGGCCGAGCAGGGGAGGGGTGAGTGATGATGTTTTTACTTTAATCCATGTTACGTGCTGCAACTCTCGATTCTAGATGCTGTAAGAAGTGCTGAATAAAATGTTCTCGTGGCCTCCTCAGGTGCATGATGGGTTACGTCAACGCCAGCCTTTCAGTTTTCCGCGTGTCTGACTTCGAGAGGAGATCACAGCCCAGGACTAATGGCTCCGAGCTGTTTGGAGAAGCTGTGAAGTATTGCCGGTAATCTGAGTGCACGTGTCCGCACCAGCGCTCACTGAGTAAAACATGGTACAACTGGTGTTTGAAAAAGAAACACCTTGTGGGAGGTTTGTTCATTTTTAACAGGCTTTGGGTGGAAGCATTTGTGCAACTGCAGGATGAATTGCGTAATCTGTCACTTCATTAATGATCTCTATTAACCAAGACACACGTAAAATACAAATCACAGAACAAATACCTCAGTTAGCAACAGAGGAATAAGCTGAACATATCAATTTAAAACAGAACTGATGTGGTCAGCATCCCCCAACAAGCTCCAGGTGTTTTTTCCCAACTCATTTTCTTTTCTGTCAGGTGTTGAATCACTAACATGAGCAGCTCATCAGTCATCAGTGCTGCCCTGTGATGAACTCGGTCTTACTTTTTTTCCTTCCGTCAGGTATCGTGACTACAGGGAGCCTCCAGACTCTGCTGAGCCCTACTCATACACTCTGCAGTTCTGGCACGTCCTGGCAGCCCGGCTGGCCTTCATCATTGTTTTTGAGGTCAGTGTTCTATGCTCTTTGATAAATGGCACCAGACAGCCGGCTGCCTTTGGAATTGGATTCTTTTTTTATCATTTTGTCAATGTTTTTCACCTGTCTGTCTGTATCTGCGGGAGCCCATCTACGTCTTCCTCAACATTTTGTTCTTAATTTTCCTGTAGCTTATAAAGACACTCGTAAATCAGTTCGATATTGTCTGTTTGTGGTGACGAGAGATCTTCATAAGTGAAATGAAAGATGCAGCAGAGTTCGCTTTACTGCTGAGAGAAGCCTGCAATCACTTGTCTTCATCTTAAACATTTCCTGCTTTCTGTGTTTTCCATCTTCTGTCAGTCTGTCCACTGCTGTGTGCACACACCTGCACTAACAAGGACTTACATCGGTGCTTCACAGTAATCTCATCCAGCTTAGTTCACAACTCCAGAGTCACACAGCAGCCAACCCAGATTAAGCAGGTGTTTTAGAAGAGTATTTTATAAACAGGATTAAAACTGCACTAATATTTTTATGTTAAAAGCGGATTAAATAAATGCGTAGTGTGAAAGGTGTCGCTCTTAGTGACGAAGTAACTCCACAGTTTCCTACAAAGCGACGTTTTTGGTTTAGTTTTACGCAGCTTTAACCCTTCAAACTCCAAATGAGTTGCCTAGAAGTTAGAGAACTCAGAATCTCTTGACACAGTTATGACGCCATTAATCATAAAAAAGAAAAAGACAGTTGAATTTTCTTGAGTATTTATTTAAACAAATGAAAAAAATATGGAAATTAACATGTACGACATTATGAACGCTGGAACTAGATGTTTTACTACTTACATTTTTATTTTGTTTCCATACTTGTCTCCTTTGTTGCTCTATGTATACACAGCCTGCAGTTCAGCCCAGTTCGGCTAAAAAGTCCCTGAATTTTTAATCATGTGACTGTTAGTTGCAGCTAAGTCACAAACATATAAATGGTTGCACTGAGGAATGATGTTTTTTTTGTTGTTGTTGTTTTTTTTACAGAAAATGATCAAAATAAACTATTTGTATTTTTAAATGAGACATGTGGAATAAAATAATTTTGTTTGCTGAAAGAAGAGCGCGTCACAGATTATTAGATCAATTCAGAAGTCAGAAAAGTTAAGAGATCAGATGCTTACAAACAGATCAACAAAATGTGAAAGTTGTTTCTCTTAGTGATGAAACAACAGAAAATTATTCCCATACTTAGCTTTTTTTTTTGGCTTTGTTGTTTCAGATGTTTCCCTGAGGAAAAGTTTAAAAAGAGATTGAATATATTACATCTTATCACTTTGAAGAGTTTTTTTTTGTTTTCACTGTGGAGGTATGGCTCTGGGATTTGCGATAACGCGCTCTGTTTTTGCAGCATATGGTCTTCGCCATCAAGAACCTGATTGCGTACCTGATACCCGACCTCCCCAAGGACCTGCGCGACAGAATGCGTAGAGAGAAATACCTGATCCAGGAGATGATGTATGAGGCCGAGCTGGAGAGACTGCAGAAGGAGAAAAATGAGAAGAAGAAGAAAGACAGGGCCCATCACAAGGAGTGGCCCTGAACACACCAACCGGTACAGCCAGAGATTTAGAAGCAGTTTGTGTAGAGGATTGTTCATTATTCAGCTCGGTTCATGACTTGTGTTGGGTTTTATTTAAAAAGCTACACAAAAGGAATGCACTGTTTGCTAAACTCTCTCCCCTGAAGAGGGATTGTCCAATTATAGCTTACAGCAGCGAGCAGGCACAGCAGGTCACTCAGGCTTTGGATTCCTCCTCAACTGAACTGAGCTGTAGTAAGAGCAGTACTCAGAAATGGAGGCATTCTAGGTAATGGATTAAACTGTGTTTGTCTGCTGCTCTAACACAAGCTGCAATCAACAGCGTTTATAGCGAGCTTGTGCACTGACAATAGCAGTAATCCATGCATTACCTCCAAAGACAAGAAGCGTATCATTACCTACCGGCATTGCTCTGTGGGGTTATAGGTGCTGCCGGAGTGCACCGGAATGATTAAATAAACTATTCACATCATCCAACTGATAGAAATAGACATTCTTTAAGCACAAGAAGATCGAATTATTACTAAATATAAATAATAATAATAATAACAATAATAATAGATCAGATTTATATAGCACTTTTCTAGACACTCAAAGTCGCTTCACACTGTCAGTTATTCAGTCAAACACATTCATTCTGGTGGTGGTAGCTACGCTTGTAGCCACAGCTGACAGAGGCGTAGCTGCCATTCTGCCCCTCCGACCACCACCTCAAACAATCCATTCATACGTATTCACACGGGGCAAGGTGGTGAAGTGTTTTGCCCAAGGACACAACGACCATGACACAGGTTACAGGGCAGAATCAAACCGCCGACCTTCCAATCATTGACCAACGGTTAGTTGCAATGGTTAGAGTTGTTATTGACATATAAAGCATGTTGATTGATTCCAACTCATGCATTGAGCCACATGCAAGAAAACATTCCACAGTAAAACTGTCCAGCAGCTGCTGGTTTTCTTTGTCCTTTTATTTCTTAGAGCAGCTAAAAAGGTAACAACTACACAATAAAATAACTTCAAACTTATTGCAAGACTTAATTTATGCCTGTCTATCTCCTTCATCCCTATTAATGCTGGAGTCAATCTTTGTTGGGCTCTAAAGTCAACAATTTCCCTGAGGTTCATACCAAAGGGATCAATAAAGTTGTATCTATCTATCCATCTATCCATCTATCCATCTATCTATATATCTATCCATCTATCTATCTATCTATCTATCTATCTATCTATCTATCTATCTATCTATCATCTATATATATATATATCTAGCTCACATCCTGTCATAGAGTAGTAGATCTGACTTATAACACGATACTGCAATATAGACAGAACCTTTTTGATGAGCTGCAACACAATGACTTTATTAATTATTCATAAAGTCAGTCTAACACTTGATCATGGGTTCAGTTATAGTTGACTAAGTTGTGTTAACCAGTGGAGACATGACCTGAGAAACAAGCCACAGTTTAACATATGTGTGTGTTATAGTTGCATTCTGGTACTTAAATAAATAGTCCTACACTCCAGTTTACAGCCAGCACAGACAGGAAGTTTAGATCACCCAGTTAATCAAAGATACTGTCAAAAAGTCTTTATTCCAGACCTTTTCTCTTGTAGAATAAAAACGTCCTGAGTGTACCTTAGCGTTCAGTCCAGATTTGTGAAGAAGATTTGTGCCTGTTGGATACCAACACTTTCAACATCTGTGGCACCACAATCCTTTTCTTTTCAGTCTGTCAGTCACAACTTGGAAACGTATTCAAATACATTTTGCTTTTGTGTTGTAAAAATCTGCCTAAATCTTACTTTCAGCTTCATTTGTTGACTCCATCCTTTTGCGAAACGGCGGAGCCATCAATTCCTTTTTTTGGCCGCCCACTCCCACTCAAAGCAAAGTTAAAACTGTCCGCTCTCACAAGAGTGGCATTAAGTTCCACAAGATCCCAATTCCAATACCGTCCTTTACCCCAAAATCAGTGTTTTCCTTAATGTTCGCTTAATCTGCGAACTAGCAAGAGCAAATATAATCTTGTTATGGTTGTCATTGCAGCCAACAAAGTTCATGCTCACGGGTTAAGTCTCTGGAACAAGAAACCACTGATTTAAAAAGTATAATGAATTTTGAGTGTTAAATCCAAATGTGTGATGCGCAAGACCAGAAAGAAATAATGGCAACGATTAAGCCTCCTGGTGTGAAAAGTGAACAATCAAGTGCCTTAAACCTGCATTCTTTCTTCCGGCCAGCAGGGGGCGACTCCTCTGGTTGCAAAAAGAAAGAAGATTTTACAGAAATCTATGAAAAATAACCTTACCCCTCTCTTGATTTGTTAACTCAGTAAACATTTTCCCTGTAAGTTTATGCTCGCAATCAACAGTTTCAAGTCTCCTTCAATACAGCATGATGCTCATTTAGTTAATTACGACCCCATTTCCAGTCAAATAGATGATAAAGCATCATATTTTCTAACCCCGTAATTAGATAAAGCACGCGCAATAACAAGATGATAGTCTCCCAGTGTTTACAGGCTTTACATGGACTTTCTCTCATTTCCAGGTTGTCAGCTGGTGTTTGGTTTCAGTGCACAGTGGAGGGAGATGCTGGGTTCCCTGCATGTCCTGGACCCTCATACTTTCCTCCTCTCATGTCAGACCAGCACCTCCTGCTGGACAGTCTCTGAACTGCACCCAGCACACGGTCACTCGGTGACCGCGGAGCCTCTGCGTCTGCATATATAACAGATGTCGTCTGGAACATTTGGCAGCAGGTTTTACTACTTTTTTTCTCCACCTTGGACTCTCAGCAGCGTATGTCTTCAGATCCTGAATGTAGATTTCAAGCAAGATTCAACTTTTTCAGATTTTTTTTTTCTTGTCTTAGAAGAGAGGAACAGCTCTCCAAGGCTTACTGAATGACAAACCTGTTTACATTTCTCCTTGTTTAAGGAGTTCACATTTTGCTTTATTGTAAATAAATATATTTAAATGAATGTCAGGCCATCTGCTCTGCTATAGTGTAGTGCAATAAAAATCAAAGTTACATGAAGAGCTATTCTATCCAGGCTGTGGCACTGTCCACAGTTTGCTTATATTGGAAATGCTTTCCATTTGAATTTAGATTGATAACCACGGTAATAAACATTATTTATTGTAAAGAAATTTGAGTGTGTCTTTGTTTTTTTTGTTTGTTTGTTTTTTTCCCCCATTTGAAACTAATTTTATGGAGTCAGTACATTTACAAATCCAAGCTAAATGAAATAAAGAGAGACAGAGAAATGTACCTAAAGAATAAAAAAAATCTTTATTTTATTGATCTGAAAATGCTAAATGATTCGCGAATAGTGTCCAAGAAGTTTTCTTCAAAGAACAATGGGGAGTTTGCATGTTCTTCATGTGTCTGCATGTGTTTTCACCAGGTGCTTCAGCTTCCCCCCCACAGTTCAAAGACATGCATGGTGGGTTAATTGGTGATTCTAGATTGGCTGAAGGTTTGAGTATGAGTGTGCATGCTTGTTTGTGTCTCTGTGTGATGGAGGGACAACTTGTCTATGGTGTTTCCTCTCTTGCTAAATGTCACCACACCGGGGAACATGCAGCGTTCCAGCAGCAACGGGTGTACTGGCAAAATCTAGGGACATAAGCTGAAAAAAATAAATACAAATAAGAACTATGCACATGTACTGCTGATATTGTATAAACTGTTGCATGTGTAAAAATGATTTTGTAGATGTAATAGCGCACAGACTCTAATGATGTTACACAGATTCAAAAATTTAGACTTTTTTAATGTGCAAAATATTACTATTGCACAGGGTTGAATGCACTGATGTTGCACCAGAGTGAAATATATCAGTTTTCTATGTGTGGTCTACTGGGAGCAGTGCTGGTTGTAAAGTCTGACAACAGCAGGAGAGAAGGACCTGTGTTATCTGTCCTTCACACACTGCAGGTGAAGCAATCTGTCACTGAAAGATAACACACATGAAAGGTAACACACACACACACACGTATGTGTATAAATATATATGTGAAGGCCTAAACAAAAGTCTGCAACACAATTTACTAAATATTGAATCAGTGCCTTTCAACCTTATTGGAGTGTGACCACAGTGTTTTGTTTTGTTTTTTAAACTAGACTAAAAATAGAAAAACAGCAGTCCACAATATTAAATTGTGTGTAGCAGAACTTTATTTATGAATATAACTATTTTCCCCCAGATGAACCGCCACCTTATCATGGTGGAGGGGTTTGAGTGTCCCTGTGATCCTGGGAGTTATGTTGTCTGGGGTCTGGGGAGGGACCACACAAAGAGCGATTCAAAGACCCTAGATGACAACACAACCTAGCAAAGCCGCCACCTCGCCTGGACCAGGGAAACCAGGGCCTCCTCCTGGAGCCAGGAATGGGGGGGGGTATCTCACTTGTCAGCCTCCCTGGGAAACTTTACTGGAGGGTGCTGGAAAGGAGGCTCCAACCGATTGTCGAACGTCGGATTCAGGGGAAGCAATATGGATTCTGTCCTGGTCGTGGAACAGTGGGCCAGCCCTTTACCCTCGCAGAGCTGCTGAGGGGGCCATGGGAGTTCGACCAGCCAGTCCACATGTGTTTTGTGGATCCAGAGAAGGCCCATGACCGTGTTCCCCGAGGGGCTCTGTGGGGGGTGTTCCAGGCTTGCTGCTACGAGCCATTCAGTCCCTGTACATCCAAAGTGCGAGCTGTGGCCGCATTCTCTGCAAAAAGTCAGACACGTTCCCAGTGTGTGTTGGACTCCACAAGGGCTGCCCCTTGTCTCCGATCCTGTTGGTGGTTTTCGTGGACAGGATCTCAAGGCACAGCTGGGGTGAGGAGGGTGTCCGGTTTGGAGACCTCAGGATCGCATCTCTGGTTTTTGCAAATGATGTGGTACTGCTGGCTTCATCAGACCATGACCTTCAGCATGCACTGGAGCGGTTTGCAGCTGAGTGCGAAGCGGCGGGGATGCGGATCAGTACCTCCAAACCTCCGAGTCCGAGGCCACTGTTCTCTTTCGGAAACTAGTGGATTGTTCGGAGTAGAGCTGCTACTCCTTCGCATCGAAAGGAGTCAGTTGAGGTGGCTTCCTCTGGAGGCTTTCCGAACATGTCCACCTGGGAGGAGACCCTGGGAAAGACCCAGAACCCATTGGAGGGAAGCATTGCCCGTGGGAGGGATGTCTGGAATGACCTGTTCCGGCTGCAGCCTCTGAGACCCAACCTCGAATAAGCAGAAGAAAATGGATGGATGGATGGATGGATGGATGGATGGATGGATGGATGGATGGAGATCATCTCATGGCCTCCCAGATTCCCTCTGTTCCTCAGATTGGGAACCACTGGAATACATTACCTATATGTACTCGTATATAAAACTCCTCTTTGACCAGCTACAACAGTAAAATGCCACTACAGTAATGGTACATATAGCAGCAAATCACATTTTACTGCCAAACCATTACTTTGCCATCTGTCTATTTGTCTCTTCTGTCCTTTTGTCTCTCCACTTCACTCTCAACCCAACCAGTCAAGACAGACATCCACCCTTCTGGAGCCTGGAGGTGTCTTACTGTAAAAAGGGAGTTTCACTCCACTGTCATAACCTTTGGATTTATTGGATTTCTATGTATAATGTATTATCTTACCATTACTTTTAAAAATTTGTTAGGTCATTTTGCATAGTATTCCAATTTCTTAACCTTAATATATAAACATGTTAAGTAAATTTGTAATATTAATCAAATTTCTCTTTTGGAAACAACATCTGTGTTTTTTTCAGGGTACTGTATACAATCCAGTGTCTTCACTTCTACTATTGATACTTAAAGTACATTTTGTTAACGTACCTTTTTGTAGGATTTTGGTACCTAAAGTAAATTTACATGACTGTATCAGTGTATTTAATTTCAATTGTCCAAATTCTGAGCAGAATTAATTTATTTAAGCATTTATTTGTTATGATTTAAATNACTAGTTCTGGGGATGTGGAATGTCACCTCACTGGCAGGGTAGGAGTCTAAGCTGGGGCGGGAGGTGGGGCGTTACCGGCTAGATATAGTCAGGCTCACCTCCATGCACAGCAAATGCTCCGGAACCAAACTCCTGGAGAGGGGTTGGACTCTCTTCTTTTCCGGAGTTGCACAGGGTGAAAGGTGCCCGGGAGGGTCTGGGGATACTCACAAGCCCCCGGCTGAGCACCGCCTTGTTGGAGTTCTCCTCGGAGAACGAGAGGGTCGCCTCTCTGTGACTGCGTGTTGCAGCTGCAAACTCTGACTGTCGTTTGTGCCTGTGCACCGCCTGGGGACTCCATAGTTCTCCTTGGGGACTTCAATGCTCACGTGGGTAATGACGGTGAAACCTGCAGGGGCGTGATAGAGAGGAGCGACCTGCCCGATCTGAACCCAAGCAGCGTTTTGTTTTTGGACTTCTGTGCTCGTCACAGATTGGCCATAACGAACACCATCTTCGAACATAAGGTTGCTCATATGTGTACCTGGTACCAGACTACCTTTGGCCAAAGGTCGATGACCGACTTTGTAGTCGTATCAGACCTGCAGGCATATGTTTTGGATGCTCGGGTGAAGAGAGGAGCAGAGTTATCAACTGATCACCACCTGCTGGGAGAGGAGAACCGCTGACCCAGACTAGGGACCTTGTCGGACGGTGGAAGGAGCACTTCGAGGAACTCCTGAACCCGGTAGGCACATCCTCTGTCAATGGGGCAGAGCCTAAAGACTCTGGAGTTTCTGTGTTCATATCCATGGCACAGGTCGCCAAGGTAGTTAAGAAGCTCCTTGGTGGCATGGCGCCAAGTGTGGATGAGATTCATCCTGAGATGCTAAAGGCTCTGGACATTGTTGGACTGTCATGGCTGACATGTCTCTTCAGTGTCGCGCGGGCATCGGGTACGGTGCCTGTGGAGTGGCAGACTGGGGTGGTGGTTCCCATTTTCAAAAAGGGGGACCGGAGAGTGTGTTCCAGCTACTGGGGTATCTCACTTGTCAGCCTCTCCGGGAAAGTTTACTCGAGGGTGCTGAAAAGGAGGCTCGAACGTCGGATTCAGGGGAAGCAATATGGATTCTGTCCTGGTCGTGGAACAGTGGACCAGCCCTTTACCCTTGCGGAGCTGCTGAGGGGGGCATGGGAATTCGACCAGCCAGTCCACATGTGTTTTGTGGATCCAGAGAAGGCCTATGTCTGTGTTCCCCGAGTGACTCTGTGGGGGGTGTTCCAGGCTTGTTGCTACGAGCCATTCAGTCCCTGTACATCCAAAGTGCGAGCTGTGGCCGCATTCTCCGCAAAAAGTCAGACACTTTCCCAGTGTGTGTTGGACTCCACAAGGGCTGCCCCTTGTCTCCGATCCTGTTGGTGGTTTTCATGGACAGGATCTCAAGGCACAGCTGGGGTGAGGAAGGTGTCTGGTTTGGAGACCTCAGGATCGCATCTCTGCTTTTTGCAAATGATGTGGTACTGCTGGCTTCATCAGACCATGACCTTCAGCACGCACTGGAGCGGTTTGCAGCTGATTGCGAAGCGGCGGGGATGCAGATCAGTGCCTCCAAACCTCCAAGTCCGAGGCCACG